AATTTGTTGGTACCATATGCATTTGCTTAGAACTTTGTACCATAACAAACTAAGCAACATACAGTTTGCACACAGTTGTCCACAATCAATCTCTAATAGGTTTTAATAATGACAATAAATTGCACGAAAATAAAGCCACGTGAAAGTATCACATGATTAACCCTTTCACCTCGGGTCAAAGTGCACATGTCACAAACTTTCATAGTTATATTCAAAATTTAATTAAACTACTTTATTATCAATGTATATGAATAATGTAGAATGTAGATAATAAATCAAAGTTTAGTATTCATTAATTTTTAAGTTCTTAATTTTATAAGGAAATATAAAAAAACACAATCTTCTCTAGTATGAGTACTGTGACGTTTTTTATCTGTCTTCTCTCTTCTATAAGTTCGTTACCACTCCTCCGAGAAGTACGAAATTTAATGTAAATTACTCATTAAAATATTTTCATCGTTCAGGCAAAGCATAATTTACATAGTCTTCAATCTTATTTAGATACAGACCAATAAAATAAAAATCGAACCTCACTTGCTATGGCCATCTGTTACATTCTTTCTTTCAGAACTTACCAATAGTTATCTCTAATATTTAAGACTATATTATTTATAACCACTAGAAAGCCAAAGTATTTCTTTAACAAATGACGTATTGTATTACGTTGTTGTCTGTACAGAGAATTGTCTATTTTCCCTCCAGTTCAAACTTCATTCCCACAAGAAACACATCAACGAGGTTAGACGAATTTTTAACGGCTTTTGTAGCACAGTTAGAAAGCCAGAAAAATTGTGATAATTATGGAGCATTGTTTCCCTTTTGCACGTTATTATTTTGTGTTCTTTGGTGCATTATTTATTAAGTAGAAATTATGTAATGCAGAAGTACAATTAGCTGTTGCTGAGGGATCAGATTGTAGACGCCTTGGACAGTCCACAACTGAAGATACAAGTGCAGCAAGCACACCCCTCTGCTATGAAAGATGCAATGGCCAGTGCTGTTGAATTCGAATTCTACTTTAAGTCCAGCACAGAGGTACCAAGGTTGGTACAGTCATCAGAATTCAAGGCCAGAAAAAGACAGCTTTTAGAGAGGTTTGAGGGACTTTGCTGGCAGTGTAACAAACCTGGGCACTCCTTGGAAAGAATTTATACCGGAAATTAACAAACAAGCAGAGACGTAACACTATTTTTAATCATGAAAATTACTTTGCACTCATAAAGAGGAAAATGCAGTGTAAATTGTAAATAAAGTTTTTTATTGAACATTGACATCCACTTGCAGAAGGTAAACATGTAGTGTACATGGTAAATAAAGTTTTTTATTGAACATTGACATCCACTTGCAGAAGGTAAACATGTAATGTACATGGTAAATAAAGTTTTTTATTGAACATTGACATCCACTTGCAGAAGGTAAACATGTAATGTACATGGTAAATAAAGTTTTTTATTGAACATTGACATCCACTTGCAGAAGGTAAACATGTAATGTACATGGTAAATAAAGTTTTTATTGAACATTGACATCCACTTGCAGAAGGTAAACATGTAGTGTACATGGTAAATAAAGTTCTCCATTGACATTGAAGTTTTTTCTTTTTTGAGTTTATTAAATTCTATCTGTGGGATTCTTCAAAATCTCACTGGGACTGTTGAAAAAAAAAGTTGAGAGTCTGGAACCCTTCACTGTGGGACCCATGTGAGAACCATGAAACACTAAAACAACAGTTTTATCTAAGTAATAACATGAAGCCTCACAAGACAATGTCTTTCAGTTAAAGGTTTGCCACAAATATGCTTAATATTTCAAAAACGGACAAGTATAATTAATAGAAAAACATATTTATATCGTTAAGATGTTAAACAATTCTGAAGTTAAACACAAAAACACTTTTACAAGTGAGTCAAGCGCGGCTCAACGGTTAGCGTGTCGGACTGTGGATTTAAAGTTCCGTGGTTTACGCCTCCTTACCGTCAAAAATAAAATCATAGTCAGTACTTTGGGGCCATGCTTGCGTTATAAGAGTGACGGTAAAACCCAACTATTCCGTTAGAGTAGCCCAAGAGCTAGTGGTCGGTGATGTTGACTAGTAGCCTCCTCTCTGGTCTATCACTTCGAAATAGGGACGGCTAGTGCAGATAGCCCTCGAGTAGTTTTGTGTTAAATTCTACAAACAAATTCACAAACGTTGTGCATTGTACATATATTTAAAAAAAACTAAATCATCGCGTAACTTGATACCGTGTTGCGTGAAAACAACTTGTCTTAGCTAAACAAGATGTTTCGTTCAGTTTGTGTGTGTATGTATGTATCTATATATATGAAGGTTATTGATGTGGCTAAATGGGATTTAATACTTTTGTGGCACAACTCCATATTCATGGAAGAGGTGCATTTATACATAAAACTGTCTTTGGGGAGCGATTTTGGCAATCTTTAGTTTACGATGATTCATTTGTAATTGTATAGTAACTTTAGTAACCTGAATTAAACTTTGTAACCATATAGATTTTGATATTGTCTAATAAAGGTCGCATAAAGTGCCGTTCACGTTAAATTCTGATTCAAGTTCTTCATGCCATTTCCAGAATGAGAAAAATATACAGTTTTTTTTTCTGGTTACTCCTTAAGCTTTGGTGATTATTGGTGAGGTGACAGCCTGGTGTTTATTTAACAATGAACCTTCTATTAAACTATACATTTAGTATATTTTACATTAACATATAATCGATAAATTCCTATTCTAACTTGTTTATGGTTCAGTAAATGCCGCACAATGTACGTATAATGACGTAAAATTAATACACACTTACAAATGATTCATTGATAACAAAATGTTTGGACTAAGTTATTCAGTTAAATATGCTAAAGATGGAATCATAAATAATATTCAACGTTAAACTGGTACACAATTAAAAACATCGAAACATGTAGAGTCGTCAACTTTTTGAAGGCCATGGATAGGCCTAAATAAAATGTTTTTAATTG